TGTGATGTTAAATTTAAAAATTTAGTCCTTTCTCCAGGAGCGCGGTTGTTTCGGGATTGAGAGGTATTGAGAGGTATTGATGATAAGTTTACTACTTTCTTTCTTTCTTTCACCGTGCTGATCAGTAAGTGTTGTCTTTTTCGAGACCAATTCAACTGGGCGCACAATCTTCAACTTAGGCTGTCTAAAAATCCCAAACTTACGCAACTTATCGTCATGCCGGTGTCAAAAAAGTCAAAAATCCTACGTGATTTCCTGTCCGTCATGCTCTGGAGTTTTTGAAAATCTTGCGGAGACAGGACTCTGACCAAATCACGCCGGAGCTTTGACTTAATATCAATAAACTTAAACAACTTGTTGCGTTCTTTGTCATAGGTCTCACTTAATTTCTGAATAGAAGCATAGTGAAGATGCTCATTAACCTTATCCGAATGGTAAGGTCTCTTAAGGTCACAGAACTTAGGAGTGATGCCGACTACGTTGCCGGCGGAACGTTTGAGAATGTATCAAGTCCACTGTCGGATGCTGGGAATCATGGCAACTACTATGGCAGACGACTTCGGACTAGGTGCGTTCTACATGGTCTCCGTGAGAACAAGACCAAGTTGCGACAACGAGGTCAACCCAATTTTATCAATCGAAAGGAGACTGTGACCACACCAGAGGCCACAACATCTTGGTCTTCATTTATTCACGTATGCAGGCTAAACGATGCAAGGGGCTGTGGTGGGTGGGGCGGCCTTTGCGGCCGTTGGTGCGTCAAGCTTATTTACCTGTTTTCCTTACCCCTCCGTTCGCGGTCTGCCTTGGTCCTGCGAGGGTCTAGACCAATCCACCTGAGCCGTCGAACCCAATGACTAGCCAATCGAATTAAGGCAAAAGTGGGCAGCACAAGAGACATCATGGGCCTGAGCACCAGACGGACTTTTCCTGTTCTCTGATTAGCTAATGACTTTGAGGCTAAATCAGTTGATTTTGTGTCAGCAATTCCAGTTCGGATAGATGAGGATAGGCCGCAGGCGTCACTTTCAACTGCAATTGCAACAGCCTGACACGTCCGTCGGGCGCCATCGCAACTGTCCTCTTCGGCTCGAAATTCCACCTCTGTCTGGTTAGTGACATAATGTCCTACCTTCAGCACTATGACTACCAGAGTCGTTTGATCCCCGGGTTAGTTTGGTGTCCCAGCTTTGAAAATGCTCCCCAGACTCATGTCTATCCTC